GTCGGACTTTGGGCAAAGAAGGTCAATCGACTACATGTTAATGTTATATACTACGCTAGTCGTGTCCTAGATGGTGCTCAGCTAAACTATGCCACCACAGAGAAGGAGTTCTTGGCTGTCGTATATGCCCTGGACAAGTTCCGACAATATCTGGTATGCTCAAAAGTATTTGTATATACGGATCACGCCGCTATTCGCTTCCTTCTGACAAAGGCATCTAAGGATGCGAAAGAGAGCTGGTGGGTATTGTTACTACAAGAATTCAAGCTGGAAGCTATCGATGCTCCTTTCTTTATGATGCCTAATCCTAAAGCTAGTGGAAATGAAAGCAAAGGATTGAATCCCTTATTTGGTACTTAAAAGCAAGGTCTTTCTTGTTGACATTTACCTAGGATTGATTTGACTCTACTCAGGATTCATCTGCTTAAGCTTTTATAGAGTAGATGATGGATCTACTAGCTTCCGAATCCCTTGTCCTCGGCGTGGTACTCTGGATTGACTTAAAAGAACCGGCCCTTAGGAATAGCATACGATTGCCCGATCCCTTTCTAGATAAGGGGAGTAAGAGTTCGCTGCTTTAGGATGAAAATCTTTCCGGTGGATTCGGTTCGGGTTAGCCTGATCTTGGAAGGAATCGGTGTAGCCATTCTTTCTTTCTTAGTTGGCTTTTCCCTCGTAAGCCGAAGGAAGAAGCATTTCACTTGCTTTTAACCACAAAAGAACGTAAACTCTAAGGACGGGATGCCAGATAAAAAGAACTTGCTGGAGCTAGAAAGCCTTTCATCGTTAAGTTCGCCTGAAAGCGCTAGCGAATCTCATCCTAATTCAAAAGCCGGGTTTTGCCTTTGCAAACTTGTATGCGGGCGGAATAAGAGCTGTGGGACTTTTTAGATATGCCTTCACTTCTTCCGTTCCTCCATCTGGTGAGTTAAGAACCTGCTTCGATATGATACTTTCTAGGCCTATGGGATCTTTGTTCTATATATGATACTGCTCTGCCCTGCCTTGCTTGATTCACAGAACTCAGAATAGGCATCAGAGGATAGATCGACGCGGTAGCTGACGAATCTTCCACTGGTAGATGGACAAGCGTGTGGACCGATGGACTTAGCAGCCTTGATCGTTACAAAGGGCGATGCTACAACATCGAGCCCGTTCCTGGCGAAAGAGATCAATATATCTGTTATGTAGCTTACCTTTTAAAGAAGGTTCTGTTACCAACATGTTTACTTCCATTGTAGGAAATGTATTTGGATTCAAAGCCCTGCGTGCTCTACGTCTGGAAGATCTGCGAATCCCTCCTGCAACTATTCAAACTTTCCAAGGTCCGCCTCATGGGATCCAAGTTGAGAGAGATAAATTGAACAAATATGGTCGTCCTCTGCTGGGATGTACTATTAAACCTAAATTGGGGTTATCCGCTAAAAACTATGGTAGAGCATGTTATGAATGTCTTCGCGGTGGACTTGATTTTACCAAAGATCTAAAGAGTCAATTCCGCTTTAAAAGTCAAAGCGCAACCATTAGATCAAGAATAGGAAAGTCCACTTGACTGATTCATAGTGCAGATAGAACATCTTTATCATTTGTATATTTTCAATCGATTTATTCTTTTTTCTTTTCTACCTTCTATACAAAGTGGTCACGTACATGTGTATTTCTACGCTATTTATATGCCAACTAGTCTGCTATTCAAGGAAACCCGATCCTTCTCCAATGCCCGGTTCACGAAGTTCTACCACTGCAGGGCTCAATCATGCTAGTTAGGCTATATGCTTAACACATGCAAATAGAAAGTTTGATCATCAGACCTTAGAGAAAGGGGTGAAAGCGATAATTTCATAAGAGAAGGAAGAAAAGAGGTTTTTTTTGGATCATCCGGGAATCTTTATAGGAGTGACAAGGGTTCCAAACCTTTCCTCGCGTGTGGCGAAAAAGATTCTATTCTTTCGCAAACCCCTATAGAATTCGAATAATAATAATAATAAGGCTCTTTTTCTTTTTCATGGAGCTTTCTCCCAATCCTCAAGTTCCATTTTGATTTCTATTTATACGATGTCAACGGTTCTTTCTTTTTTCGATTACCAATGGTTCGACAACGTACATTTCCAATCAAAGTGTCTTTTTCTTTTTATGTGGTCGTCATTCTTTTTAGTCTTTGTCTCCTCTTCATGGATGAGCTAACCAGAGCGGTGGCTCAGTTCTATCCCACGTTGGGAGGAACGAATGGTGGGTTCGGTCCACCACCGGCTCCGCCCGGGCCGGACAATTCCGTTCTTTTAGCTGCTTCTGGTTCCCACGAAAGCGGTCCGTCTGATCCAAACGCTCATGTCTTGGCGGAGACACAGGAAGGCTTAGACCGCCTACGTCAAGAGAACCTGCGCGCCCTTCGTGAGAACGAAGCTCTCATAAAAAGAGCCAAGGAGGAACTGGGGCTAGGAAAGAACGTTTCAAAGCGATGAAAGCTCGAGACGCCGCCAAGGATCAAGCTAGGCGGATCCGGCGCCAGGCACTTCAGGAATTCCCTAGGACAGTGGAAAGAGATTTGAGATTCCGTAAGTAACTCAGTGCCTTTTTAAGGAAGGGGTTTGTCTTGGAAGAAGAAAATGAAATACGAACAACCGCGCTGGTCGTAATAGATCGACTTTCATGCTGGAGCAAGAACTAGCATGAAAGTTCCATTTCAGGGAAGGACGACGTACTATGACTATGATACTTTCTGTTTTGTCTAGCCCTGCTTTGGTCTCTGGTTTGATGGTTGTACGTGCTAAAAATCCGGTACATTCCGTTTTGTTTCCCATCCCAGTCTTTTGCAATACTTCCGGTTTACTTCTTTTCTTAGGTCTCGACTTTTTCGCTATGATCTTCCCAGTAGTTCATATAGGAGCTATAGCCGTTTCATTCCTATTCGTTGTTATGATGTTCAATATTCAAATAGCGGAGATTCACGAAGAAGTATTGCGCTATTTACCAGTGAGTGGTATTATTGGACTGATCTTTTGGTGGGAAATGTTCTTCATTTTAGATAATGAAAGCATTCCATTACTACCAACCCAAAGAAATACGACCTCTCTGAGATATACGGTTTATGCCGAAAAGGTACGAAGTTGGACTAATTTGGAAACATTGGGCAATTTACTTTATACCTACTATTTCGTCTGGTTTTTGGTTCCTAGTCTTATTTTATTAGTAGCCATGATTGGGGCTATAGTACTAACTATGCATAGGACTACTAAGGTGAAAAGACAGGATGTATTCCGACGAAATGCTATTGATTCTAGGAGGACTATAATGAGGAGGACGACAGACCCACTCACGATCGACTAAAGAAAGAAAAGGCAAGTCGCTTTCTATTGGTTCAAATCCAATTCGTGAGAGGGATACGATATGAAAAAATTCTTCTTTTCTTTTTTCGGTATGCCGCCAATAACCAACGAATTACGCAAGGAGCGAAAGAACGAAGTGTGCTGTGGTGATGTCCGAATTTTCACCTATTTTGATCTATTTAGTGATCAGTTCGCTAGTTTCTTTGATCCCACTCGGTGTTCCTTTTCCATTTTCTTCCAATAGTTCGACCTATCCAGATAAATTGTCGGCCTATGAATGTGGTTTCGATCCTTCCGGTGATGCCAGAAGTCGTTTTGATATACGATTTTATCTTGTTTCTATTTTATTTATTATTCCTGATCCGGAAGTCACCTTTTCCTTTCCTTGGGCAGTACCTCCCAACAAGATTGATCCTTTTGGATCTTGGTCCATGATGGCCTTTTTATTGATTTTGACGATTGGATCTCTCTATGAATGGAAAAGGGGTGCTTCGGATCGGGAGTAACCACTAGTGATAGGGCAAAAAGAGGGGGGAAGGACAAAGGAAATCGCGATGCCTACATTAAATCAATTGATTCGTCATGGTAGAGAAGAAAAACGGCGCACGGACCGTACTCGAGCTTTGGATCAATGTCCCCAGAAGGAAGGAGTATGCCCGCGTGTTTCAACGAGAACACCGAAAAAACCTAATTCAGCTCTACGTAAGATAGCCAAAGTACAGTTGAGCAATAAACATGATATATTTGCTCACATTCCAGGCGAAGGTCATAATTCGCAGGAACATTCGAAGGTCTTAATAAGAGGAGGTAGAGTCAAAGATTTGCCAGGTGTGAAATCCCATTGTATTCGAGGAGTCAGGGATTTGCTGGGAATTCCGGATCGAAGAAGAGGAAGATCCAAATATGGTGCGGAAAAACCCAAATCGATATGAATGGAAGATGCCTCTGGAACTTCTTTTTCTCGGTCAGTAGTTGGAAAGTTTCTCGAGCTCAGGTACGGGCGACTCAGCCACATGTGCTCGACTGAATATGCAGCCACGGAACTGCTAAATCCCTCGTGAGACAGAAGTTCCGGTCAATCGTGTCGGCCTTCATCACCGCTGCTTTGGCGATCCGACTTCACGAATGCGGTGACGCGCAGTATTTGTTGACATAGGGGTAGCGAGGAGCTTTCCGCAGTTCATTCAATCTATGAATCCACAGTGGGACGTTCTCAATCCAAAGTGGACTTTTGGGTCAAAGCCTAGACCAAAGGTCCCTAATAGCGTAGGGAGACTAATCGGGTAGCGAATCCCATCCTCAGCTAAACCTGGGCAATTCACATAGCGCCTTCCTTTCGATAGACTTCCTAAACTAAAGGAGGATCTAGCTGTGGATGATGTCACAGCTGGAGAGTCAACCTTTGAATATTAATGCCTGCCTTATTCTAGACTGAAGAAGATAGATTTCAAGAATTCCTTCCTTTCCTTTTCATCGAAAGCTTTAGTCACATCTGACATCACTTCTATTAAGAATTAAGAAAACCTAAGTCGAGTTTGTTGATCGGATAAAAGGATCTATGGAATAGAGTTGAGAGACCCTTTAAAAACAGAATGAAAGACAGAATAGGATAAGAGTTCTCAGAGCAGACTTCAGAGCTGACCATTCCTTTCTGGCTAACCTACCGGTGGACTCGAAATAACGAAAGCAAGCTTTAATGCAAGACCCTTATCCCAATAGACTAGACATCTATAGATGAGAACACATAAAGCTTATGGAAATCCATCTTGACTTTCCTTTAATTCATGCTCTCATTCTTAGACTGCAGGGGGACATCCTCAGAATGGTCTCTCAGTATGGTTACCATTTCCTTTCGCATAAATAGTCTATGTTGTAGATAAGGCAAGTTATACGATACGATGTGATTGACCTATCAATATGATCTATATGAATATGAATAGGGTAAACATTAGATGGGAAGATGGGAAGAAAGAAGGCGATAAGGGAATGCGCAGAGCAAGAACGCCTCCCCCTCAAAGAGAGTAATAGAGGGAGACAGCAACTCACCAGGAGAGGGAAGCTAAGAGAAAGAAAGACCGGAATTCCCATCCTTCTCTTAGAAGGCAGAGTCGAAGATAGGATGTATTTCTTACCCAGCCTTTGTCGTCCTATCTTATCTCTTTCAAAGCTCTATAATAAAAGTCAAAAAGGGAAAGGGCACGGAATAAGAAACCCAAATCCACTCCATAAAATAGAAGAAAATCCAACACGGAAATAGGAGGAAATAGGACCGGTAAAAGCCCTTCTTTGGTATTGGGAAATACGTCACCCTCTCGCTTTTCTTTCTATCTATTAATGCGGAAACGAGCAATTTGAACAAGCTGAATTCCATCCACCCTGATTTCCGACCTCTTGCATTGCATTACCATAACGAAAACAAAAAAGAGATTGCTCTTGTGATTCTCCATGAAGCTTTCTCGGTCGAGGAAAGGAATAGCGATAGATTTCTATAGAGCATCGAGGAACAAGCAGATGAAATCGGACGACGAATTCTTGCGTGGTCCAAGGAAATCAAAGGTCTGCTTCCACGATTTCATCTATATAGAATCTTTGAATATCAGAATAGCTTATATAGTCATGATTCAATTCATGAATTAGCCCACTATGAGTCTACTGCATTTATAAATATATATTCTAGTATATCATTTCTGTCTCTGTTACAAGACGGCGAAACTAAATGGTTCAAATTCAGAGAAAAAAAAGAAGAATTTTGAGGCTGTACACCTCATTTTCCTGGGATTGTAGTTCAATCGGTCAGAGCACCGCCCTGTCAAGGCGGAAGCTGCGGGTTCGAGCCCCGTCAGTCCCGACGGGGGATCCTTTTTTTTCCTTTCGCATTTCTCATCAAAGAAATAGGGGAGAATTTTCATTACTTCAACTAGTACCGATTGATGGGAGAGAGACATATTTGGATTAGTACTGGACTAGGCAGGGCAGTTCATTCCTGAAAAAGAAGTAGTGTTGACCGGAAGCTAGTTCAAAGAAAGGGCAAGCCAAGAAGACAAGTGAGAAGAGCAACCATTCTCAGAAGAAGACGGCTTGAAGTTGCTTACTCCTTTCTATACGACGGCAAATCAACCGAACTTTAGAGATTACATTCGATTTAGAAGCGGGTCAATTGTCTTTCCTTCGCCAGACGAATCCCCTCCTACCTGCTGTCATTGATTTCTCTTTCATCTCCCAGTCCTAACTAGAAAAGCATGAGTTCGTAAGCTCTTACCCGCCGTTGAAAGTTCGAGAGCAAGCAAAAGAGGAAAAGAGGAAAGAGAAAAGAGGTAATGAGGTAATGAGGTAATGAGTTCCACTGCTATTACTTCAGTTAAGTACACGTCTTCCGGTAAAGGTAGTCCGGGGAATGCCATGTTGCAATCAATGAAGTCTTTCCTTCATCCATCAAGGAATCAAAGAGCAAGTTCAGGTGAATGGACGAGTTCCGGGAAAGAACCCAACGAGTGAATGCTATGAATGAGCCTTCTTCCCTTCACGAGTGAAATTCATTCTATTGAACGGGGTAGGAGGCGGCTAGGTGGTACTGCTTGTGCTTCTCTTCCTCTCGCTATCTGAATTAACATGCAATCTTGGCTAGAATCAGTACTTTCAGTAAGCGCTATCACTTTCCGTTTTACTCGATGTAAGCTTTCAGTCCGGGCTCGGGAACAAGGCTTGTCGAGCCACTACTTGATGAGTGAGTTTAATTGAGATTTGCTTGGATACTTACGGCATTGATTCACTCATGTAAAGGAAAGGAAGTGAAGCTCCCAAGGCGAAAGAAAGATCGTCAGACCCCTAGAGAAGATAGTTCCCGCAGCAGCAGGAGAATAAAGAAATTCAATTCAGTAGGCTACAAGCCAGTCTTAGAGAGGGATTCTATTTATGGTTCAACTACAACCCGGTCGTTTTGGGTCATCAAGGGCAGTTTCAATGCGGGGACGAGATCCAAATCTGTGATTGGCTCTGCTCCCCGATTTGGATCTGCTGTTGGAACCAAACCAAGTGAATCGCTTTTGTGGTTTAAATGCTGCTAGCTTCTATCTTGCTTTACCGGTCCTCTCATTCTCTTCCTTTACTGACTCATCCATTCTCCTCCCTCTCCAACTCGGTCGAGTCATTCCTGGCGGACTACCTTTCGGTATGGAGCTATAAAGAAAAGGCTAGACCTAATGCTTTGAGTTTGCCTTTCTTGCAGGCATTGAATGAGCCAAATCCCTTGATGATGGGAGTTCCCGCTTTCAGGTTGTTTTGAGAAGAAGTCTTCCATCTCCAGATGTTACAATTCCAGGAGTAGTGGCAAGCTAGGGCCGGGAAAGCATCCAAAGGTTGTGGAGGCCTTTTCCCGGTCAATCTACACAAAAAGCCAAAGGGTTAACTATGACTCAGAGGAAAGAACTAATAAGTCTGCCCTGGGAAGCAGTGCATAAGAAGCTACGGGGAAGAGAGGTGGGACCAGAGGCCTAAGAAAATATGACATGGGACTGTCATAAAGCTGCTTTCGCTCCTCATGTTGTCAAAAGGTCATACTATGGCGTGGGACCCTGAATGTACAAGTGAATACATTTTGAGATATCACTCAGCGTCAGTGAGGCATCTCTAAAAGCCAAGACCTACAATAGGTGGGTACCAGACTATGAATTGCATCCGCGGGAAGGTTCGAAAGACTTGCTTGGGTGCGCACAGGAACTACTAAACTTTAGGCTTCCTCATCAGGAGCGAGTAGGAGGTCTCAGAACAAGGTTTGATTGTTGCACAGAAGAAAGACCTTTTGACGGGCTACTCTCCAAGCAGCACGACCTCGCTACCTCCCGAAGCAGCCTAGTTACACAATGCAGTTTTTTCTAGAGACGAGGATGGACCAGGCTTTTCCAGAATCGGCCAAGAAGCTCAGTGAACCCCAGTAGCAGTCGCTACCCCATGACTCTTAGTGAGAACCGTAGATTGAATGACTTTTCCAACAAATTGTTTATCGATGACTGAAGAATATGAACTTTCTACTTATGATCGTCACGAATTGAATTAGAATCAAATTGCTCTAGGTCGGTTACCGGTGTCAATAATTGACGATTACACAATTCGAACAATTTCTTCGAATTCACCTCAAATAAAAAATGTATAAAATTCTTGATTCAAAAACCATTTACAAATTCAAAATCAAAATAGCTTTTTGACCTAAAGGAATGAGGTTTTGGTTTGGTCAAGAACGGTTGGTTCGCGAGAATCCTGGCTTCGTTTTGATTCAAAATCGATTTCTATTCGAATAATGATTTCAAAATGGATAGTTTCAACCTCTGCTTTTAAGAATAAGCGTAGCCCCATAACTGTATTTCTATCAATCCACACCACCCCCCATTGAAATTTCATTCAATTAAGAAATATCCTGTAGTTTTAGGATAACTTCGTTTTCCTGGTCAAGTCGACAAGGGCATGAAATTATTTTCTTTTTTCTATAAAAAATAGATTTACCTGGACCAATACATGATTTTCTTTTAGTCTTTCTGGGATCGATCCTTTCTCTTCCTCTGGTCTAGTTAGTGACTTCGCTTCCCGCCCTTCGAACCGTTGCTATGTGGTATTCCCTTCTGCTTTGTAGTAGTAAAGGAAGATTTTGAACCCCAAGTCCAAAGGAACTAATGCCACTGATAGGAAAGACATAGACTCTATGCCCACCCACTTACCGCTCTATCACTTCAATTCAATGACGGACTGAACCTACCTTTCCCCATTCGACCTACCTGAGAACACTAACGGAACACTCTTTGACTCCCACTGACCAGCGGATTCCTGGTGTTGTTTCTTCTTCATTACCATTGATTCTTCGGGATCCTGTTGGTGCTGGTCGGCAGCGAATATCCCCAGCTGTCCAGCAAGTGGATGGTTTTCAGACGTCGTCAGGTTCTGGTCAGCAACAGATTGTTACGGCGTCCGCTGATATTGCAGTTCAGACGCGACCAGTTATGGCGGGTGCTGCTTCAACGGAAAATGTTCATATATCGTCCTTGAAGGAGGGTGGGACAAGTTATTCGGCACCGGTATCTGAGGTTCAATCAGTCTCGAAGGATGGGCTGGGGCTTTCTCTGCAACACCAGGTGCAGTCTAGTGCGCTTGTTGAGGGCGCAGCTTCACGGATTCTGAGTCTGATGAGGACCCGGTGCATACTTTCAATTCCTTTGGGGTTCTTGAAAATATGAAGGATGGTATGGATGGAGAGCTGCCTAAGGTGTCTCTGTCTCGGTCTCCTCCCGCTATGTCATCTCCTTCGCTACCTAGTGAATATAACTCCCCTGCTCCTTCGTCTCCTTTGAGGCCTATGAATAGATCCCCCTTTCTAGATGAACCTAGAATCCATACTCTGAGCTGTTTCATTGCAGTATGTGCTATAACTCTTAATAAGCTAGATTCAGTATGTATTAAATAAGAATATACCATTTGATAGTCTCAGAGATCTTGTAATGAGTGGTATCTTCGATAGGTATATTGAAGGTGGGGCTAGCCTTTCGTCTATTACTGAGGTGGTCACTCCTTCATCGAGTGTGCCGGATGCTGGCACCCCTAGTTCGATACATAATACAGTTTCTCACATACCTCTATAGATCAATCATCTGTTTCTGATGTACCGAATCAGCCGTTAGGCAATATTGACACTAATAAGAGTATCGGCTTCAAGTTCTTTATCGGGACTGCTCTGCTAATGGCAGCCGTGGTTGCTCTTTCATTCTATAATGGTTCTTCCGGCGTAGCCTTGCCAACTTATATTCCTACATGAACTGAAAAAATAGAATATGATTAGTGAAAGAATGATGCTGATCGAGTCAATCGATCGTATATTATCACAAAATTCGGATCTCTTTGAGTTAGAGGATATGGAAATGAAGGTGATTCAAATGGAGGTGAATGAGGGGTCCTATGTATGGGGTGAGTTCAAATTGCTATTTATTCATAAAGATGAGATGGAGAAAAAGTCTTTTTCAATATTTGTTCGCGTAGTCGATTCAGACTACTACCTCTATATATTAGACCCCGTGATAGACTTATTCTTATGGCTCTAACAGATTTTCTTCTCAAGACCTTGACTTATTCTTCTTTTTGGATTCACCCTTTGCCTATCTAGAAGATCGTGATCTGCTTTCTTACATATCAACAATTGTAGGCTGGGGTCCTGTAGAAGTAGTTATCCTTGTTGATCTAGAAAGGTCAATCTCTACGCTTTCCCGTTCTTGTCTCATGGCTAAACTCTCAAGCGCTGTGGGGGATCCCTTGATCTTCAACCTTTTCTCCTCTTTCTTCAATTCCCCACTACTCAGTAAAATGGGTCCCACCCCTGATTTTGTTTTGGCTCGGAAGGGATCCCCCCTTCAGGTACCGACATCAGTCCTGTCTTGCTTAATATCTTTTTAGATCACTTTGATAGGGCTTTCCGATCCCGATTTCCCCAGCTTCCTTTCGCTGGCTATTGTGACGAGATTCTAGTCCCAATCCGCGTAGACAGACCGGAGGATGGATCTATAGAAGATAGAGTTCCCATTATGGTCTCATTACTAGAAGAATTCAAATTGTCTGCCCGTTACCTATCTCTTCTTCCGGGGGAATCCCCTATTTCTTATAAGGGAGGACTTCTTATCCTTGATGATAGATGATAAGGGGAGGAATTCCAAAGAGAAAAAATAGCATATCCAATCCTGCAGGACCTATATTCCCGAACAGAAGTGATAGATAAAATCTGTTCGGAAGAGTTCATCCCTAACGAACGGCAAGAGCAGATCCTTTTCTCGAGCAAAGCCAGACGTAACAGAGGAGATAGGCGTCGACGAATAGTCATGATGATGATTTGGAGTTTTCCTCTCCTAAGAGCTGAATTCATATAATTGTGTAATCTTTTGATTCTATCCAATTTCTTTTTCAGGTCTTTTGTTGAGACTCAAGACCGCTCGTTGGTCCTAAGCCCCAGGCAATTCCGAAAGCCTTTGCGGGTCTCCGCCGCGTGCTTTTGCGCTATGTTACTTACGATCTTTCTGTCCGAGATTTCGACTTAGTGATCTTTCCCTATCCGCTTTTTTCAGGTGCAGATGAAGAAGAAGGCTCGACCGAAGGAATGAGTCACAAGGTGAATTGGTTGCCCCAACTTTTTCGACAAACGAACGGACATTTTCGGGGACTAGCCCGCTGGAAATTACTCAATAGGGCAATTCCTCGCACAACATTAAGGGAGCCATTGAAAGGTGACCAAAACACCAGAAACGACGACTACCCGAGCTAATGATAGAGGCAAGAACACTTTCCGGCCAAGTCTCATTAATTGATCATAACGATATCGTGGAAATGCTGCACGGACCCATATATATAGAAACAAAAACAGAATCACCTTGATACTAAACCAGATCGAGCCCGGGATCTTCTTGAAAATAGGAAGATCTAGGATAGGCGGCCAACCTCCTGGAGAGAGCGATGTGCATGGACCAGGTGAGTAGGGATGCAGCTCCGTGGACCGCTCGTCGGGCCTGATAGGTGGTGGTATCACACCCTTCTCAAAGAAACCGTACGTGACACTCTCGCGTCATACGGCTCCGTCCCGGAATCAGGACCTTACCCTTTCTTTGACCAACGGTCCTCAAACCAACCTGAAACGCACCTTGTTGAACTACCTAAGATAATGCGTCCCAGGGTCGGAACTTCAACACTAAGGCTTTGATTCTCCTGATGGTTGGTCAAGTAAGAAAAAAGAAATGTTAGGAAAGAAAGCGGGAAGAAAACGAAGATACCCAGTACGAAGACCAAGAGAGCTAGCGATGAGCCGTCGGAGTCTAGGCCCGAGCACGATATCCTCCATAACAAGGGCTATTCACCGACCTAGTAAGAAGTTACTTTCCACCGATAGCTTATTTATATGGGAAGAAACCCAAGATCGAAAAAGAAAAAAACGGAAGTACGCGCTTTAGGTCGACATGTATCTCTATCCGCTGACAAAGCAAGAAGAGTAATTGATCAAATTCGCGGGCGTTCCTACGAGGAAACACTTATGATACTAGAACTCATGCCCTATAGAGCATGTTATCCCATTTTGAAATTGGTTTATTCTGCAGCAGCAAATGCTAGTTACAATATGGGTTCCGACGAAGCCAATTTACTAATTAGTAAAGCTGAGGTTAACGAGGGTACTAGTGTGAAGAAATTCAAGTCCCGAGCTCGGGGACGTAGTTATGCGATAAAAAGAACTACCTGTCATATAACTATTGTAGTGAAAGAGTTATCTTTAGATGAATATGAAGAGATAGATTTTTTGAAAAACCCTAGATAGGAAAAGAAAACTATGGTATATCATGATGTATATAGTAGTGGAGTAGTATGGGACAAAAAAGAAATCCACTTGGTTTCAGGCTTGGTACAACCCAAAATCATCATTCGGTTTGGTTTGCACAACCAAAAAATTATTCTGAGGGTCTACAAGAAGATCAAAAAATAAGAGATTTTATTCAAAATTATATACAAAAGAATATGAGAATATCTTCCGGCGCCGAGGGAATTGCCCGTATAGAGATTCAAAAAAGAATCGATTTGATCCAAGTGATAATCTATATGGGATTCCCAAAGTTATTGATTGAAAGTCGCCTAAAGGTAAATGGAGGAATCGAAGAATTACAGATGAATTTACAAAAAGAATTTCACTATGTGAACCGAAAACTTAATATTGCTATCACAAGAATTGAAAAACCTTATGGAAACCCTAATATTCTTGCAGAATTTATAGCCGGACAATTAAAGAATAGAGTTTCATTTCGAAAAGCAATGAAAAAAGCCGTTGAATTAACTGAACAAGCAGACACAAAAGGAATTCAAGTGCAAATTGCAGGGCGTATCGACGGAAAAGAAATCGCACGTGTTGAATGGATCAGAGAGGGTAGGGTTCATATAAGACGATAAAGCACTTCCACTTCCCTCTTCAGTAGCTAAGAAGCGTCAGTTAGGATCTGACTATATAGATAGGATGTGGCTACTATATCTCTTTGAGTTCATGTAGTTATTGAGCTAGAGCTTAGAAAGAAATGCATCCCTAAGGGGAAGTTCGTAAGCCATAGAGTGTTGATGGGAACGACCCCAAGGGGATAATAATCAGAGGAGGTCTCTTCTTCCTAGCAGGACAGAAGTTCTCCCTTATGGAGTCAGAGTATACCTTCGCAGTCCCACGCGTTCAATCTTCCTGGGTCCTCCTGGGGACGTATATCCCCAGGCCCCAGAAAACCAGTCCCCAGTCCCCAGTACGCAGGCCGCAGTCAGAAGTTAGAAGTCCGGTTAAGTTAGCCTAACATGACGCTTAAGAAAGAGGTGCGTAAGCCAAGGCGAGCTTATGTTATAGAAAGGGAAGGCGGAGCAATGTTTTTTTAAGAAGGGGGCGAAGAGATCCGCAACTTTCACAGTGAAAGGAGCCCACTTACCCACTCCCCTTTCCTCCCATTGCTAGGAGCCTCGCCCTCTTGACTTGATAGATCAAGAAGACTACAACCGATAGTGGATCGCCTTTTGCAACAATAAGCAAGAGTTGGTAGATCTGAAAATAGCTAGTATACGAAAGTCAAGTAGTCACTTCCGTCGTTCAGGAAGAAAGACAAAGCCTAATGATTTTTCATCCCGGCCCGGGTTTTCCCCACTAACTAATTAGCTTACGACCACTGAACAAACTTGGTTGACGAACATAGTTTATGCGCCGCTAATGTAGCGGCTTGTCGAGCATTTGACAAACTCACACCATCCATTTCAAATAGGATTTGTCCCGTGGACACACGAGCAATCCAACCCGTAGGATTTCCTTTTCCTCTTCCCATTCTGACTTCTGTAGGTTTTCCGGTAATAGGGATATCCGCGAGAACTCTTACCCATATCTTACCATTTCTTCGGAATTGTCCGCTCATAGCACGATGGAAGTGTCCGATTATAGCACGACGCGCTGCTTCAATGGCTCGATATGAAAGCCGACCTGCTCGTAAACTTTGAGTGCCATATCTTCCAAAACCAAGTTGTGTACCGTCCGGTTTGCAACCCCTACTACATCTGCCTTTACGATATTTACTATATTTCGTACGTTTTGGATATAGCACGCCTCTTTCTTTTTTGACTATATGAAATCCACACTTTGACACCTAAGATTCCGTAACGAGTAGATACTTCCGCAGGAGCATAATCGATTTTCTGGTTAAATACATTACGAGATGTTTTTCCATACTTTCCGCATTCAGTTCTAGCTATTTCTTCACCTTCTGATCGACCTGAACAACATATACGGATCCCCGTAACCCCCTTTTGAATTCCTAATGGAATATTCTTCACTATTTTACTAAAAATAGAACGAAATGATCTTGTTTTGGTCCTCAGTTGAAAAGAGATGTCTTGAGCAATCGGAGAAGCACTTTGATAAACAGATTTGATCTTGACCGATTCAATGTTGGTATTAGTCTTTGTTCTATTAGACAACAAAGATCGCATTTTTTTCACTTCGTTCAAATAAGAGTTGTACCCGTACGGAATTCTTCTCTTTCTCAGTATGATCTCTATCATCATCTCTATTCCCTTTATCAATTCTCCTATCCTACCTAGGTCTATGAATTTCTCTATCAATTCCATTACCTTATCCTTAGCCATGAGGTTCCAACATTTTCTCCTTAATTGACCTAGGAGTTGTTCACGGGCATTCTCAAAAAAAAGGTTATTATACACCCCAACCCCATCCCTTGGAAAAAAAAAGGTAGCACCGAAGAAAGGAAAGAGCGAGATGGTGGTTTTTGGTGTTCCCGCGAAGCGAAGATCATTCGCTTGGCGAATGAAGTGGGTCAACCTCTTTTTGGCTTCGGCCAAACACTTTTTATCGCTGGTCGAGCTTTCTACAAAAAAAGCGATGCGAGAACGTATTCTCTTATCTAAGCTTCTTTCCTGTGCATTAGCTCCCCCCATCGTAGCCACGCCCGGTGCCACGAAATGATTGAGAACGTAGACGGGGTCGAAATGCATTTTGTTCTTTGTATTCAATAAGTATTGCATGACCGAATAATTCAAGGAAGAGCGCACTGCGGGGAGGGTCCTTTTAAGTAGATGACTCGTCGGGCCGTCGGAGCGGGACTTCTTTGGGAAAAAGAACTTCAATAACTTCGTTTTTCTGAAGGAGTCGTCATTTTCTATCAGAAAGGCTATGCCATTTACAACCCCGGCGTATTTCGGATGCTTGAAGGCCCCGCTGACCCGAAGTGATTTAGAAAGATTCTTCTTTATCGATGATGATCGGTCATGGTATCCATAGCCTTGCTTCTTTTTCGGCCAAATCCTGATAGAGTTTGGCTTCTCCCGATCGTCGAGCCTGATCGACTCGACTCTTTTCCCCGACCCCCGGCCTCTCACTTCGTTTCCTTCTTCTTCTGTACCGTCGCTTGAATGAAGACACCCGATCGGCCGACGGCCCTTCACCTTTCCGGGTCTGGAAACGGGGAAGAAAGAAATTCTCCACCTACCGAGGCCCAAAGGTGAGTCTCCGTATCTTCTCCTTGGGAGTCCTTTCCTTCTTGCTTGGTTCTGCAGACTTTCTTGCTGGAGTCGTCGTAGTGGATTAAAAGAGGATAGGTTCGAATAAGTTTAAAACCTTCCCTTTCGAGATTGTTCTCCCTTTTCGGGAAAATGTAGAAATATATCACTTACGACTTGCCAATGTCGATTACGAAAGCTGAGTGACAAAAGGTACCTTCCAAAACCAACTTGTCGTAGCCTTCGTTTTGACGATATACACGAACCGAACGATACAGCTTATTCATCTGAGATATACGGATCCCCGTAACCCCCTGAATATTCTTCACTATTTTACTAAAAATAGAACGAAATGATCTTGTTTTGATTAAAAGAGATGTCCAAAGCACTTTGATAAATTTGATCACTTCTTGGTATTAGTTTTGTTCTATTGACAACAAGATCGCTTTGACTTCGTTCAAATAAGAGTTGTACCCGTACTCTTCTCTTTCTCAGTATGATCTCTACAACATCTCTTTCCCTTTATCCTCCTATCCCCTACTATGAATTTCTCTATCAATTCCATTCTATCCTTAGAGGTTCCAACATTTTCTCCTTAATCCTTTGGAAAAAAAAAGTTCACCGAAGAAAGGAAAGGGGAAAAAAGAAAGAAGGGGTCTTTTGGCTACTTAGCTTCGCTTGCCAAACGAACCAAACATCTAAAAGTGCCTCCGAAACCCGTAGTGCATTTTGTTCGTATTCGGGTATTGCATGACCGAATAATTAAGTACTTCCTTTTAAGTAATGATTCAAGGGCCGCGGGGACTTCTTTTAAAAAGAACTTCAATCTTCGCCGAAGGAGCGTCTTCTATCAGAAAGGCTATGCCTTTACAAAGATGGCTAAGTGATTTAGAACGAAGATCCATAGCCTTGCTTCTTTTTGAGTGCTCGAGCCTCCCGACTCGCCTGATCTTCTTTTCCCGACCCCCGGCCTCTCACTTCGTTTCCTTCTTCTTCTGTACCGTCGCTTGAATGAAGACACCCGATCGGCCCGACTTTCCCAAATTCCCACCACCGGCCCTTCACCTTTCCGGGTCTGGATTTTTCGCGTCGTTTTAGTCGTCGTGGTCGACGGGGAAGAAAGAAATGAATGAATGCTCTTTTGGGAAAATGTAGAATAATACACCTACCGAGGCGAAAGCCAAAGGTGAGTCTCGTAGGTGGACGTATCGAACCGAAATAAGATCTCAGATTGAGATCTTGATACACTGATTTCCCATAATAATAAATAGAGTCAATGGTGACAGAGCCGTGGGAAGAGCCGCTTCCTTCTTGCTTGATAGGGGGGGCTTCTATTCACCAACGCAGACTAAAAGTGCTCTCCGAACCGTGCTGGATAGTGACCCATCACACGGCTCTCAAACCCAACCTGTGGTGGATCCCGGAGACAAAGTAAAAGCGCTTTATCCTTTGCCCCATACTTTGAGATGCTCCTCCCCGTCGATCAAGGATTTTGATTCTCGTGATAGGCTTAGCTTTAAGCCGCTATCGTTCGGTTCGGATAAGTCAAGTCCCTTCGGTCGGTTCGCTCAGGTGGTCTTCCCAACTCTTCCCTAACGTTCAGAGTTGTTCTGGTTTGAGATGAGAAAGGAGCCCTTTTCGAATACCTAAGCGAGCGCCATGAATGAATAAGAAATTGACAGCAGAGGGAATCAATGATTCTTATTCGACCGAGTTATAGCTAGCAAGATGTCGATTACACACCGGAGGTTGGTAAGAACTGAGGGACAATGCCCCCGTAAGCGGGCCTACCAGCGAAGCAACTGGTACTTGATCGGGCGGGGGGCGGTTTGCTTTCGTGCAACGCCCTCGCAGCAAGAAGAGGCAGTTGTGAAAGGAAAGGCCCTTTCTATCTTAAACGATTAGAAAAGCCTAAACGTCCTTTATTGAAAACGAAAGCCGCGAACGAGCAAGAAAACGGATGCGCCTACAAACCTCTCCTGCTTATTCATTATGAATTAGGGCGAGCCCCAAACATCCCTTGACCTGTCGCTCCTTCTGAACCTCTCGCTGTCGCTCGAGTTCTAACGAACCTTTACTAAGAAACGAATCTAAAAAGTTGCCCTTCTTTCTCAAACTCAAAGTCAACTTTCTCACTTCTTGCTTTAGTTTAGTTTGATTGCAACTAGCGCGCTTGACTAAGTTGATAGAAAGTCAAGGCTCCTCTCCTCTTTTACGAATCTACAACTCTCTTTACTGAGCGAGACGTAACCCATACCCCTACTAGTGGTTATTCTTGATTTTCCATTCTATCCTTTGTTTGACAGCTTAAACTAGGCTCCCCTATAGGTTTTTGGTTTTTATATAGGTCAAGGGCGCGTCGGAACGGTCGGTAGCTGCTTAGTCTCATCCGACAACAATAAAAGTTTCCTTGTACTGCTTTTTTTTTTCAAAGAAAAAAAAGAAAGAAGGGGGTCGATTTAGGCTCCTTCCCTTCTACTGCATAGCTGCGCTAGCAGGTACTACGAGCCCTCTGTCCCACGCATCTAACCAGCTCGCGTGGTTCACCGGTTCCACCGAAAACTCTCATTTGTTGAAGCGGAGCATAGTGCGCTTTAGGCGCCGAGCGAGAAATGTCTCTTCTTTCGTTTCGGGTTATTCACTGATCTGAAACTTAGCACTTCTTTTCTTATTGATTCCAAGGGCGGCGGCATTCTTGAATGAAGTCTATCCGAACCGAATTAGCACTTCTCAGATCAGGCTAGGCCTCTCCAGCTGAGCTGGGCGCCGGGGCCCTGGATGCGCTAGCGATTGGCACATAGGGGAGTGGTTGCCCGGGTTTCTCGGCCTGGTATCCTGCACCTCACGTTCATGATATCTACATTCAACTGTGCCCCGGAGACACGGTCGAAGCACGCCCGCCCAGTGTGCTTCTTTCACGACATGCTCTAGTCCTGGGTGTCTTTCAGTGGTCTTCTAGCCAACAAATATCAGAAGTCGTGTCCGCCCCGGACATCCGCAACGTCCTCCCACGCCTTTTTCTATTTGAAATCTGGGACAAACTGAAGGAAAAGACTGACCCATTCGGTGACTTTCGTGGTCGCCCTCACTGAACCAACTTGAATCTGAACTACGATTCAGATCAAGTCTGACCGAAATCGGATTTCCCTTTCGTGCCATATGTACTTAGACTTTCCCTTTTTCCCCTTTTTTCTTCCCGGTCCAATATTTGTGCTCGAAGGTCTTCGTTTCCGTGTATCTGATCTCCTCTGCTCTTACTGAACCTACCCACAAAATCAAAAAGAAAGAAGAGAGATTTTGCCATGTTTCCCGGGAGAGGCCGCCTTCTCTCAGGCCAGCAGTCTTCTACTTCTAGTCGACTGCTTTATGACGGGCTTTCCTCTTTCCTGGGCTCTGCTCGCTTCGTCTACGCTCCGACCCTAATAATTGAAAAACGATATTTCCTTGCCCTTTAACTAACTGGTTAAAACTTGTCGTCAAAAAGAAAAAAAATGGAAATAGTTATTCAAGACCTAGATGGATCCCTATCTTTATCTCTATCCACGAAGATACCTATCTATATTACGAGAGATCTATCTATGAATCGATCTAGACTATCCTCTATCCGGATAGATATGTCCCTTATGAGCGACTACGCGGATCTTTATATGTTTTGGCCACGTTCGTTTCCGCGGAGAAGAAGAAGGTTTGGATCTTTCAATCTTATGTTGTGAGGGATGTGACCTATGTTAGGTCCATAAGATACCACAGCTTTTGGTGTTCTATGATTCACCTCCGAATAATGAGTAGGTAGTTCGATTCTTTTGATTTTTCTCTTCATAGTAAACTTCAGGGGGGATGCGGAGCAATAGGTCGAATTTCTATATAAAGAAGAGTTGTAAACTATAGGATTTCTTGTTTGAGTAGGAAAATTTCGGTTTTTCTCGTTCCTTCTCTTCGATAAGAATAGGGATTTGAAATGATACAAATTCCTCTTCATTCTGTTGTGCTCATCGAAATAACTGCCTAAGCATACTTTTTTGGATCCAAACTTCTTTGTGTCTTCTTCTTGCATAGAAGAACGCAACTGTTGCAAAAACTGGGATTTTAGTAGTAGGCGGCATTCCTTCTTAGTTTTGAGTTTTCGGAACCATTCTGTTTTTGTTCTTCGGAACATTCTCACCGGGCGATCCAGAAATTTTCCTATGAATTTATCAACTGATATTTCGCTATAGAAAGATCTCCTTATTTCTTCACCGCGGGTTCTCGCATCATTTTCTTGAAAAGATATTATATCACCGTGGGACACTTTAAAATGAATAATGTTTACCATTCTATTATTCACACAAACCCTTCGATGACTTATCTTATGCCTTGCTTGAGGAATAGTTTCACGAAAATGGAGACGAACCGGAATAACGTCCGATCTTGTTTCTGGATTGAGTAGAAAAGGGATATATGATCGTTTTCTTCTTCTGTGCATCTCTGTGATGGGTAAATCTCCATGAAAAAGGGACAACTTTCGTGTTGTTTGTGATTGAATGTAACTGTTAAGATTTTCTCTCGAATAAATCTTTCTCTTAATAGATCTCTTCTTGTTTCTCAATCTTTGGAGAATGCGGCGCTGTATTATTGTAAGTTCTCTGTTCCAAACATTTCCTGAAAGTAGACGACAAGTTTGAAATCTTAATGCAGGGCAAGGCATATCTCGTTGAATCCGTCTTTTTCGCCACATCGCGTATAACGGGAATCGAACCCGCATCTTCTCCTTGGCAAAGAGAAATTTTACCATTCGACTATATCCGCGTTTTTTATTCGTGATACACAATATATCCACAGATATATTATCATATATACCCGAATCCTATTTGTGCAGGGTCGAGCTGGAGACTCTCTTCAGAGAGATTCCAATTATTTTCTATATCTAATGAATTCTCTTTTTTTTTCATCCAAGAAGTTTGACCCCCCTCTAATTTTCTTTTTTTGGGGGGTCATTTTTGTTTTGGGTCTGGGACGAATAGGTTCAAGAGATCAGAGAATTAAGGATACCCACCAGAAAGACTAATCCAATCCATAATGATGCGCCAGAAAATACAACATTTTTCTTACTTGACCAACCACCAGGAGAAGCAAATGCGACAGGTATGCTAACCAATAAGATTATTGAAGTAAGAATTAATGCAAAAACAGCCAATTGGAAAACAAGAGTCATGCTTTTAATCCTCCAAGATACCGACAAATAAACTATACCATTTGATCCCTATATAAGAAAATACATCATCAAGGGATTTTCGTGTACCACGAATCGATTGGACTTGTTACCACCCCCTTTACCACTCTATCCGTACATGGAGTCAAGGGAAATGGAATTTCTTTTTTTATTTCACAAGTGGATATGGTGGATGGATAGATGGATCGATCGGTAGATTCACACCTGAGGTCTTTCTACAGATAGTAAGGGTATCCATCCCCTATGGCCATGTTCGATTCGGAAGAAGAAAATAAAAACTGTCTTTCGGAGAGATGGCTGAGTGGTTGATAGCCCCGGTCTTGAAAACCGGTAACGTTTTGAACAAAGAACTATCGAGGCGCTTCATGCCCTCTCGCTTCGCTCGAGCTCACTCAATCCTCTCATTTCGGTCGAGCCCCTAAACTCCCTCTCGCTTTGCTCGAGCTCTAACGAACCTCTCTCACAGCTGATTCAATAGCAACGAATTCGAACAACTAACAGACGATTCCTGCTGCGCATATGCTCTCCCTTACCTGGGAGGTTTAGCATAGATTGATTACCTGGGGAGCAGTCTAACGCCCTGTACGACGGTTAGGGTATTTCCGGCTTTCTTTACTTCATTTTCGTATTACCCCGCCCGGCTGGATATTGCCATTGTAGGAGTAGGCATAGGTCAATCATAGAATGTGCTTCCTTCCTTGGACTTTCTCTTTCGAAAGGGGTTCAACGCCATTATCAAGAAGTAGCATGAGAAGGACTCTCTCACAAGCCAGTCTATTCCCCGCCAAAGAAGTGCTTTTTTATGTGTGTCTGGAAGCAGAAGTATTTGCAGTTACTTTAGATCTTGGTCCAGGCCATTTCCCTTCGATGGCAGATCCCGTGGAAGTGCACTTTCTTTTGTGTCGGACTAGGAGAAACGTCATGACGTTCTAAGGAGCTAACTATCTGACAAGGCGCTATTCTCGTAGAAAAGCCTCCGCTTACTAAGTGTCGTAATAGTTAACAATTCTCGAGTGCTGCCAATAGATCCCCAAAATGTTGGCAAGTCAACTGGAAGGGCTAAGCTTATCCTAATCTATTTCAGAGAGTTAGAGTGCTCTGCCATATCCACTAGTTTGAGTGGTAGCTCCCTTGAATGGAAGCCATTGGAAGTGATCATTTACTGTCTTTCTCCCTTCCGTTCGCCTGGGTGGATTCGACTGTCAATTTCCCAACCCAGCATCAAAGCAGGCTCAAGTCCATGCAAGAAAGATTCCAGGAATCTGGTGCAATAGCTGCATCGATAACAGTTATCCCGAAAGATGTCACACTGTTGTAATGGATAAGAGGCCATTTTTGGGCGTTAAGGCAACCTTGTTAGAGTAAGGAAAACAAAGACTTTTGCATTTTCTGGCTCTTAGAATACTGGAAAATGCAGCTGGCATCGGGGGGCACAGAGAGGTAAATCCGCTGGCAAAGCGCTTGAGACGTTCCAACAAAAATTCACCTGACGCACTGAACCATGGGGGTACCCCGGGCTTAAGCTGCAGGACGGGGCTTACAACTAGCTAATGGAAGGTAAGCAAGACAAAGCAAGTCTTAGGGGTATTCATGGTAGCGGTAAGCCGTGATAGGTGTAAGCAAAATCGCGCATTAAGGTAAGCAGTACCGAAGAGGTGAGGATTGCATAAGACGGTCTTCCTATGAGAAAGAAATTGGTAGTCATCTTTTTTTTGCAGATCAAGTATCCGAATGCTCGAGCGGGTAGAGAAGTATACTTACGATATACTTTGACGCGGCCCACCTTGAGTTATTTTCCAACACGTTCCCCACACTCGGGATTTTCAATGCCTTCTGTAATCAAAGCTTCTGTAGTAAAGTGGAAGGAAATCTGAGACAAGTGTTCTGGCAACTGCAACGCTCCCTGAAAGGTCTAACTCAGGAGCCGTTTCTGATTCAAAAATCAAGACTCAATCATATGTCTGTCCCCCTCTTCCTTTGGTTTGGAGCTAGCTTCAAGCTACAGCTATGTCTTTGCTGTATATCTCTCACTCTCGTTCAGACAGGGGTTCAAAAAAAGCTCTTAGCCAACGCCCACAAGCATGATTCAGTGTGAAAATCACTTTCTCAAAGAAAGTCAAGTATGTGCTCCAAAATTACAGTTTGCACTAGTCACATCTTTCTCAAAAAGAATGTGACGCGGTGGTCAATCAAATAGATCCTATCTTTGTCAGAATAGAAGGAGGTACACAAACCAAGCTTTGAGAGTCAGAAGTTGGAGACTGGTATAGACTGAGGGAGCCTGCGACTTTCAACTCAGCCTTATGAGAGGGGCATTCCAACAAGGCTTCGTGAATAGTCAGAGCATTTGCTCATTTACGATCTACTCAACAAATAGTACTACCACCACGTTAAGGAACAGGATTGATTCTTCTTCCCAAAGAAAGTAGGTGTATTTTTGGGGCTTGTTTTGATGATGGGTAGGCTTTTGTGCTTTGGCCCGGCATACGGATATCATATCAGGGGGCTTTCATCGAGGAAAACAGGCTTGATAGGCCCAAGTCTGAATTTGTAGGACTTTGTTGGACGGGCCCGTCGATTACAGATCGTCGTGGGCTCAAACCAGCTCTCGTTAAGCCAGAAAACCTTCGCTTGGCCCATTCGATTGGGTTTCAAATAAGAAAGATTTTTGAAATATTTTCTAAAAACTCTATATTAGAAAACGGTGAAATCCTTATTTCATTATATAGAGTTCACGATCTATGGGGCCCTCGGAAGACGGCTAAGAATGTCCATTAAAAGGAGCGGAGCTTTTTCTTTCAAACTGTCTTCAAGCACGAATAGAACGGGTAAAGGAAGGTATTCTAAAATCCTAAGAGCTTTCCGTCCAGTTTTTTTGTCACTTTCTTCTTTTAGAAACTTCTTCACTAAACGAAATTCAAAAAAAGCTGTACTGACTAGTGTGAACTGAGCTGTAAACAGTACCTTTGCTGGGAAAAAGCAAGGGTCTGATCAGATCAATCAAGTGTTTCAAGGACAGAGCTGTCGAGTGAGGATTGGGCGAGGGGAGTTCAAGATGTACCTGGATCAGCCAATAAAAAAAAGACAAGTAGAAGCGCAGGGCTAAATAGTGCAAGTAGGGTACGGGCGGAGCGAGTCGCTTAAGCGAAGCTTTTGGACAGATCACATGCTTTTTGTACTGGTCCGCTTTGAGCTGTCGAGTAAGGAGTGCTCTATCTCTTAAGAAAGGGGCTTTGGAAACCTGCCTTATTAGACGAGAAAGGGGAGTACTCTCTGATGTGCGTTCTATTATTACCTCCTATTCCTGAGGGAGTGATCGGGATTAAGCCGCGTGGCGATACCCGCGAAAAAGAAAGTCCTATTCGCTCTTTGGGGTGGGCCTTTCGTACTCAAATCCGTACGGGGAAAGGACAATTATTCAGCAAAATCTAGTGGATGGGGTTCCATATTCATGAAAAGCCAGGTTTGAACCATGTTACGGAACCAAGACAAGAATTCTTACTAATAATAAGAAAGGGCCTTAAGCATAATAAGTTCGGGTTAAGGGCCTCCAACGCCTATAAATAGAAGCTTCTTTCAGTCTATATTTTCAAAGAGAGAGGTAGAAGTCAGAAAGAAAGACTTTCAGTAAAACTGAATGGATATCATTGCCGAAAGACTGGCAACAATTCGGAACGAAATCCGTCAGGTAGAAAACCAGAAGCTCCAATGTGAGCGAATGCTTGGTCTGTTCTGGGAGCATCCGCCCCCTCTCGATCCTGAGGACGTAGGAAGAAGGATGCAATTTTTACGGGACCGCATTCGAAGTCTAGAAAACCAAAAGAGGGCCCTCCTCAACGAAGAACAAGACCAGATTGTGCAGGCCACCAACCTCTCCCGCGATGACCAGGGAGACTAGAATAGAAGAGTCCACTCTTTTTAGTTTTATAAGGTTTCAATTAAATAAGTGTCTGGAGACATTTGTTTTCATGTCTGGTGTTCTTTGTCTTTTTTTAGTGTAGATCTATTCCGGTGCCTACTGGAGATAGACTCCTATCTATGCTAACTAGCTTTGTTTGGTGTTATTTGTTATGTTTGCATGTATGGCCTAGTGTAAAATGTTGTCTACTTAATGCTATGTTAATATAAATAAAGACTTTTTCGTCAAAATGTGCTTCATGTGAAAGTTGAAATAAGGTGTAAGCTAAGTGTACTACTGGAGATGTGCTTATTAAGCTTTTACAGCTCTGAAGCTTCCTTCCTTACTGTAATGTGCATAAGATAGGCCTGACGCAAGGTAGTTGACTTACTTACTTGATAGAGTAAGGTAATGACCATTTTGGAACAAGTAAGGAGATATCGCACGGAAAGCCGGATTAGGTCTTATAATCGAGATTTCTTCGACAGGCCTTAGTCCCTCTGGGGCTTCAGAAAGGATAGCCATATAAGTGACATCCTAGCCAGAGAAGAGCGAGTGAAAAAGATACTATGCCTTAACCATATAGTCGCCCCTTATAAAGAAATCTAAGGGGCTATATGGGACTTAGTATAAGCTCTCACCTGATAAAGAAAGAAAATTGTAACAGGCGTCCCGGAAGCTATTCCTGTAATAGGATCGCCTTTGGTAGGGATGTTTACGAAAACATAATTCCCACCAAGGCAAGTAGTGAAGTGTAACGTGAGACATGTAATCTCTCATTTTGTTGGCAGGGAAGCCCACCAATAATTAGTGAAAGTCTACTACAACATCCACTGTTCTGGGGCTACGTGTCATTAGAGGGATATGACAAAATCTTATCTCTTGAAAAAATCCACAATTCGGGAAAAAAATCGAATGAAAAATTGCCAGCCTTGACCTCAGACATGAGTGTATGAACTGCATTGTGTGTTTACCAGTGCCCGTATATAGCTACTTGTCGCTTAGGACAAAAGTGGTGACAGATTACCAGGACGAAGTAGCATAGGTTTGATGGGGTTAGTTTCTCATGTGCCGTGACCTAGTCGAGGGTTGGTCCTAAGAGATCCTTCTAGTAAGAGCAAGATAGACAGTAGACTAAGGAATGAAGGTAAGACCCCTCTTTGAATTCCTTTTCTGGTACATTCACCCCTGCTGTAGCATCTGATGCCTGTCTCGGTTCGGTTAGCGAAGCATTCTATTCTAAAAGCTCGGTTTTCAAGGTGAATGAAAGAGCCTGGAGTTGGGCCTACTTACTGGACTGATCTGATCCCTGTAAGGAGTTTGGATTATAACGCTCCTTTAGATAGCTTTATACCCTACCTAGTCAAATACTGAACTGAAAACTGGAACTGAAGGGCCTGCACTGGTCCCTCGCTCTTATGCAATGATCGTCTGGAACTTATTCGCTCACTTACCCGCTTGCGGACTACTGATAGAGAGAGAAGTCAATAAAAAGAAAACCCTAATGATATGTATCCGCTCCGGTCCGAAGCGAAGGGAAGTCAGACTTAAACAAAGGGGAGGGCTTCGGACAATTCATTAAAGTTATGAAATTGAATTCATGAAAAATAAAGATCGGAAAATAGACCGATAATCATAATCCATTGTCTGTTAACGAATGCTCCTACTCCTAACGGTTCTATATCCAATTCCTTAAGGATAAGGAAGAAGGAAAGGGAAGGAGAGAACAGCTACTAAGAGTTATAAGAGCCATACCACAGAAAGCTAAAAGGAGCCGGGGTCTACTAACTGAACACAGGCAAATTCTTTATTGAAAAGGACTGAAAGTACAACCTTGATAGAGTAAGGAAGTCATCAAGCATACTTTCGGGGCTTCGTTTTCTCCTTTCTTTAGTGAAGGCAGGCATCTGAAAAGGTATCTGTACGAGGACATCCAGTATGACGATGAGTTTCCAATCCGAAATGCTTATATAAGACGAATCCAATGAGCTAATGATAAAGCGTCTAGAGTGACTTGTACTTCTCGTAGAGATAGAGGGAAAGAAGCTTAGTAAGCTAGTAGCACGAAAGTTTCTTCTTCAACCTACAGGTGTACTTGCTTTACTCTTTAGCAATCCCAATCGAAATTGTCGGTATACAGATCTATTCCACCAAGGTACACATCATTAGATGAGACAAAAGGAAAGAGAATGCACAACGAGGGCAGAAGCAAGAATCGAATTCACACGCACAAGAGACTTGCTCCCATGTAGCGAAGAAAACCTAAGGGAGCTTTTTTTATAAGATTTGCAAAGAAAAGGAATTCTTCTCGCTTTTAAGCAATCAGAGTAGGGATCTCTCTTCGATGAGTCAGACTAGGCTATGATTCCCAGATAGGAAGAAAGAGCATTCGCCACTTCACTATAACTCCCTCCTTACTTAGATCTTCGTGACCCTCTTCCCCCAACCAACACAGGGCTTAGAGAGTCGCTTTGCTTAGATGAGAAATCCGTCTTTCTTCCGTCACGGTAAGCGTTCTAGGACTGATAGTGAAGTTCAAGCGTATCATAGATCAAACTCTTTCAATTTCAGTCAAGCTTGTTGTAAGGCTAAAGCCCCTTTACTAGACTAGTAGGAGCAGAAGGAAAAGTCGGAAAGCTGCTTTCCTTAGATAGGGCTTATCGGTAAGTCAGTGAAGCAAGTCTTATGGTCCAAACAGAGTACAGGGCCTGCACTTCCGGAAGCCTGTGGGGAATGGGGAAGGAAGACCAAACAGAGCTTGAGACTGAGAGAAGGAACGAATATCGCTAAAACCGAGACCCATTCCCTAAACGGAATAGACAGAGAATAGGCTCTTCTCCTTTCGTTTGTGTTCTTTACTAACCAATAATAGGTTTTCTTAATAATGATAACTGGCTTCTGTCTTGTTTGTTTTGCCGCTCATTTTTTTGATCCAATTGTTCATTCCTGGGAAGAGGAAGAAGCAGATAGAGCAAAGGCTTCCTCTTTCCATCCGCTCTTCCCTAAGTGAGCGAATTGCATGTAGAGATCCGTAAGGGCTTATAGTTTAATTGGTTGAAACGTACCGCTCATAACGGTGATATTGTAGGTTCGAGCCCTACTAAGCCTAACACAAACCTCCACCCCTTTGGTGGTATGCATCTTAGTTGAAAGTATGGCATCAGTCCAATCGAAGATGGACAGTGAATCAACAGAATAGGCTTCATGCCAACTCGGAAGAGAAGGAGCTCTTGTTGCCGGAAGAGTTCTGGATAGTAATGCACCAGTCCTTAAGCCGCATGCTTTATTCCCTTTCTCTTGTCTCTATAGTCGGCATTTGACCGTTTAGTTTGTCCGATATTGTTTAATGAGCGGTGGGTGCTGTAGTTATGAGTTCTGCTTTCTACTGAGCTCTTCCTCTCCTATTTCTCCATCTGGTGTCTTGTCTTGTTGTAGTTCCCGAGCTCTCTCCCCAGCCTGCTATATATCCTTTTTTCAACCCGGGCTGCTAAAGAGCTGATACCTATACCTGTTTGCTTGTTCCTGGTTCTTCCTGTTTTCCTGGGAGTTTTGGAATAGGGATTGAAGTTGAAGCTGCTCATCATCCCCCCTTAGTAATTCCTGCTCTAGGCCCCTATTATTATATTAGGGGTAAATACCTCTTTGAATCGATGCCGGTAAAGCTCGAGTAGGAATTATCCTAATCTACCAGTCGTAAAGGAATAACCCCTAACTCTAACACTTCTCTAGTCACTTCATCGGCAAGAAGCTCTCGTACAACTCGGTGGCTTACTAAGCTAATCGCTTACTGTTACTGGAACGCTTACCTCTATCTCCTAATCGTCCTAATGGCCAACAAGTTCGTCCTATTGCTTTCGAGGAAGTGAACTGCCCTCCCTCTGCTTAACTGCCTGCTGCTTCCACTCAATGGGCTCCCATACGGAGACTCAATTCGCCCTAACATCATTAATTCGCCGTCCAAACATCCGGTGGTGGATTGAAATGGGCTTCGCCCTCGTCCTCTTTAGATCAGGATCTTGAGAATAAGTATGTGGGCAGTAGGAGGATTATACAAAGAAGCAACTTTCTCTATCGGTATCTCTAGTTGGAGCTCTATAAAGACTTACAGAAGCTTAGCCTTCACACCTTTTCTCCCTTATCTCCTATTGTATGTAAAGGGCTTCTCTTGCCCACCTGGTAATGAGTCCTATTGCTATGTTCAAAAAATTCCTATTTCTTTTCAAATAGCACCTGAACTGCAGTAGCGCTTAGCCAAGCTTAGAGCTATCAAAGGCGATCCTTCTTAGTACGGGTACTAGCTTGAGCCAGTTAGGATTGACAACTTTAGCTTAGTTGGAGAACTCAAAAAAAGTATGTTCTTTAAAGCGAAAGATAGTTTCAGTCACTTCACTTCTTACCAAAGAAAAAGGGAGACTTGCTAATTCAATTCAATCGCCTTGGTTTTTCCAAGAAAGGCGTGGGATGAAGCTTATCATGAGGACTACGGATCGTCCGCCTCTGGGACATTATAGTCAGCAACGCACGAACGAAATAAGGGCTTTGTATCCCGTTCGAAATGAAGCCTTTATAAAGCTCTGAGAAGTAGGATTTTCCTCCAAAACCAAAGGACTCCCCACCTGACCTGGGCCTGGGAGGGTATACCTTGCACATGCAGGAGGTCAATAGAAAGAATTGATTTGTGGAAGAAAGGTAACTTGCTTACTTAGTGCTTGTACTAAGGAAAGATTACGACTCCTATAGATAACAAAAGAGCGGACAGGAGCAAGCCATAGACCTATTAGCTTACCATCTATAGTAGGCCTCGAAACCTTTCCATATTCTTCTACTCCAGGTGAAATACCATCATAAAGGGGAGCCTGAAGTAGGAGTCCCGGAAGAGGAATCAACAACGGAAGGTGAAACCGCATCGAAGAAGGCAATGAAATAGGTGCAGAAAGCAGGCCATCTGAAGGAGGAGTACCAGTGGATAGAGAAGGCAATTCCAGTTCCACTATCGGATT